ACCACGACTGCTGTACGAGAGATGGGCGGGCACGAATGTCGGCGGGTATAGCTACAACAACCTGCTTGGGTTCGCGCAGATACTTGAGCTGGATTCGGATGGGTTTGCGGCTTGCCTGAACGAGCGCAAGTATGTTGACCGAGTGCGGACCGAGAGCGAGTACGCGGACGACAACGGCATTACATCCACGCCATGGGTGCTCGTGAACGGGGAGCGGGTGCGGGGCGTGGAGTACGGCATCTTCCGGGACGCGATTGAGGCGGCGCTTGCCGCGGCGCAATGACGCTGAACGCCCGTGTAATATGCTGGTCCGCCAGTGCCTTGCTGAGCCTGGCGGGGCTGGGGCTGGCGACCTACCTGAGCGTTATTCACCTTAGTGGGGCGGACCTGGCATGCGGGGTGAGCGGCGGGTGCGGGGCGGTTACGACTAGCGAGTACTCGCGGTTCCTGGGCATGCCGGTGGCGCTGCTGGGCGTTGGCGGGTATGCCGTGCTGCTGCTGGGCAGCCTTGCGGCGCTGGGGCTGGCGCAGCCGCCGGCGATTCTGCGCTGGGCGCTGGCGGGCGTTGCCTTTGCGGGCTTCGCGTTCTCCGCGTACTTGACGGGGACGCAGGCGTTTCTTATCGGCTCGTACTGCGTGTATTGCCTGACGTCGGCGTCGCTGATGACGGCGATTATGGCGCTGACGGTGGTGGGTGCGCTTATCAGAACGGGCGATAGATAGGAAGATGAAAGGGATATCACCCCCATCCTAGCCTTCCCCCATCGAGGGGGAAGGGACTTTTTTCTTGTCATTGCTAGTGCAGCAAGGAAACTGAAGTCTTTGCTGCCTAGCGGTGCATGTAATTTAGATTCTTCACTCCGCTGCGCTACGTTCAGAATGACAGATTAAGCAGCCTTCTTTACATACCCTATCAGCCCGTTAAGGGGAATAGGTTTTTGGTCAGGGGCTGCGGATGGCGGGGGCGCGGAGCTTTTCGGCGGGTGGGGCGCAGATGACGGACGTGCCGTTGGTGGCTGCCTCGGCTATCTGCATCTCAGGGTCGGGGTAGCCTGTTGGGGCAATCGGTGGCGGCGGTTCTTCGTCGAACTTCGCCTGTTCCTCTTTGTCGAATGGTCGGTTGTAGGGCTGTAAGTTCGGGTCGGGGCGACGTATGGTTGGAGGTCTCCGGCGACTTTCCTGCCGATGAACTTTGCCTTGGCGCGGAGGGCGGCCCGGTGGTCGCCGCTTGCCATCGCTTCCTGGAACTCCTTGATGATGGCTTTGTCTTGTTCATTGACGGTGGTTGCCTTGTTCGGGAGCGGGCTTTGCGCGGGGCTATTCACCCCCATCCCATCGGCAAGCTCAGGGCAGGCTCAGCCTTCCAGCCTTGCCCCGTCGAGGGGAAAGGGGGTTTTTGAGAATGCCCGCAGTACCCTCACCCCAACCCTCTCCCTGAGGGAGAGGGAGCTTTGTGGCAGGACTGGCGGCTTGGCGGTCTTCTAGATTCCTGCTTTCGGAGGAATGGCTAGAAGATGGGACGGTCTCTTGGAAACGAAGCGACTTTGAGTTGTCGTCTCGGTCTTCTTCTTCTCTGATCTCTTTGGCTATGGCTTCGTAGTCGGTGTCGTCGTAGTTGTCGTAGTCGTCGATGGTGGTTGAGAGGCCGGCCTGGGTCTTCTTCTGACCTATGGATAGACGCGGGATTCCTTGTCCTGCCAGTAGCTTGGAGGTGCTCAGGCTTGATGTTTGTCGTGGTTGGTGTCCCAGCCTCGGCGCAGTAGTTCCTGTGCCGCTGACATACGGTGATGGATGGTGAACTCTAGGTCAGGGTCGGGGATCTGACATCACTTCGAGCAGGAAGCGGACTGTGTCGGTGCCGCGCTCGCTGTACTCGCGCATTCGTCTTGGCGAGGTCTGTGTGCAGGTGTCGTAGGCGTTTGCTTCGTCGGGTGGTGTCTGACTGCTCCTGCGGCGTGAGCCGAGGTCCTCCGAAGCCGCGATCGCAGGAGTTTCTCTTTGCGGCTGCCATGCGGTCTGCGGGCTTTATGCGGAACTTCCTGGGAGTGAAGGCCTGTCCCTGCCGGTCATGATGTGAATGAGAAACTCTACGACGGTGTGACCTTCGGCGGTCTCGTGGCGTATGAGGTGGGCTATCTGGTAGTTGAGGATGTCGAGGTGAGTGATTGGCTTTGCAATCTCTTTTCCCCTCACCCCTTCGGCAAGCTCAGGGCAGGCTCTAGCCCTCTCCCCAGGGGAGAGGGGACTTTGAACGGGGGTTCGTCCTCGCCCTGCCCGACTGGATTCCCGCCTGCGCGGGAACGACGGTCAGAGGTGGTTTCGCAGTCGGTGTCGGGGAAGCCGTACTTGATAGGTTTTGTTGCTTCCATTCGATGACAGACTTTGACGCCCGGGTTTCGCCTTGCATTGTGCTGACAAGGAATTGTGCGATGGCGTGTCCATCCTTGGTGAGGCTGACAATGTTCTGTTGTAGTTTGGTTGGGATGCACATATTAGCAATCAGGTTTCAGCAGTCAGGTTTCAGGTGGCTTGCCCTTTGACAGGTTCACCATTCATCTATTAAATCTTATGTTCTATTATGGGTGCGAATGTTTGGGTTGTCAAGTGCGACTTGCGTGCTGAACAAAGCCTGGCCTGTGTCAGGATTCGGTACGAAATCGGCTCCCTCCAATCGGACATCATGGAATATCTACACTAGTTGAAGAAATCTGTCTAACGTATGTAGACTGACTGAAATTATCTTCAGGAAAGTGGTATATTACCCGCACTAAGGAGAAGCCGTGCTAACAGACGGAGAAATTCAGAATCTTATTTCTCTTCCCAAGATGATTACATCCAAAGAGCCCGCCAGAGGTTATGAAGAGAGTAATACCAGAGACGTTGTAATTAAGCATATGGCTGCGTCGGACAGCAACATTAGGTTTGAAGTCTTCATTCGGAGGCACATCAGATTTATCGAGAACTTCACAATCGGACTAACTTACCGTACAAATCTCGTGCAATCTGGGGTCATCACATTGGCTCGCTACAATGGGGCACACGGTGAAACAAGCCGCAGTCCTGACGGGCATTTTGCGACGCCGCACATCCACCGCGTGACGCAAACCGAATTAGGTTCTGGAAGCATACAGCCACAAGCAGCTAGCAGGGAATTAACTGCACAATACAGTACATACGAGGAGGCTCTTGCCATCTTCTTTGTCGACACTGCTGTTGAGAATTACCGCCGCTACTTTCCTGAAGCCGGTCAGATGAGACTCATAGAGGGATGTTAATTTGCTCAGGGACTTGCTCACACTAAGTTTGCCAGCCGGATTCGATCTCTACGAGCGACGTCCGGGAGATTATCAGTTGATAGTCCCCATCGTACATGAAGACGGCGATATGTTGGACATTTATTTGACGTCCAGTCCTAAAGGTGAAGAGTACGTTCGAATCTGCGACTTTGGGTTGACCCTGATGCGCCTCTCCTACACCTTCAACGTAGAAACTGACACACGGAGGCAGATTCTGAAGAGCATCCTTGTCGACAACAAGATCAGCGACGAAGACGAAAACTTCTTTCTCGATGCCCCCATTGGCGCGCTCTACGAGGGAGTCCTGCAATTTGCGGGATGCGTCCAGAAGGTTTGCAATATGCGTTATTGGAGCAGAGAAACAATTCGGGGCGCCTTCTATGAAGACTTGGAGGAGTACATCACGACAGACTTGAACCGCTTCTCTCCCGTTTCCGACTATACTCCGCTATCCGACTATCCCATAGTCAGTGTGGACTGGGCACTTACATACAATAGCCTGCCTATGTATATCTTCGGAGTATTAGGTGGTGATAAAGCCAAGAGCGTTGCAATATCTCTGCTCGAATTCCAGAAGGCGGAGCTCAAATACATCAGCCTCGTTGTTCACGAAGATATGGAAAACCTAGGCAGAAAGGAAGTAACCTACCTTACTAGAAACGCGGACAAGCAGTATCCAGCCCTACTAGACTTTAAGGTTGGCGCTCTCGCTGACATTGAGAGGTTCTCTAGCCTTGCGGTGTGACGAACTGCTTGTTCAAGACGTGCAGCTGTTAGAGGTGTCAACGTAATCGCTGGTCGGCATGCCATATAGTCGGTGGTAGCTATAGAGGAACGCTAGGGCGGAAATCACGGATGGCACGAGCTGTCGGTAGCGCTAAACAAAGAGAACTCCCCACCTCTCGGTGAAGGAGCGGGGAGAACGCTTTGCTATGGCTTTCGGGTTGTTGGCGCTAGACGGGAATGCACAGACCAAAGAGGCCATGGTCGCAACTTGCGCCGGTGTCGCCTCGTTGATGGGGTTTGAGCTGGGGATTCCCGGTAATTGATTGACACATTTGTGCTAGCGAGAGTAGAATGCTCTCCAATGAAAGCTAACTTGATTACGAATTGCGCCCAACGAGGCGGGTGAGGGGAGGCGGCTATGGTTATTCTGAGGGGATGCGCGCGGTGCGGCGGGGATATTCTGACGGGGGACGCGAGGAATGTGCGGTGCTTGCAGTGCGGGCACAGGCCGGATTTGCCGATTGCGGAGCTGAGGCGGCGGGGGAGGCGGTCGAGGAGCGGCGGGATTTCTAAGCCTGTCGATCTGGGCGCGATATTGGCGGCGCTGGATGTGCCGGCGGATGCGCCGGAGGGGTTTGTGAGCGCGGGTGAGGCAGGGGATGCGGATGATGCGGATTCGGGGGCGGCGTGTCCTCGCTGCGATGTCAGGGATTCGATTGCGCTGGAGAAGCTGCGGGCGCACTTCAACACTTGCTATCGGTGCAGGCTATGCGGGCATATATTTAGTCCTGGGGGCAGTCCGGCGGGTTTCCGGGAGGCGAGTTAGGGTAGGCGACGGCGGCGAGGCCAGTCCTGCTCATCTTCTTGTTCGCGCCTGCGCTTCATGGTGATGTAGGTGCGGTATGCGGCGAAGATTGCGTAGCCGATTACCAGCACGATGAGTAGGACTAGGAGCGGGTTCATTGGCGGGTCTCCTCGCTATTCGCCCGTGAGGTCTGCGAGCTGGGGCATGACTTCGGTTGCCATGAGGGTCATGGCTTTTTCGTATGCTTCGCGGTTTTCGGAGTGGTCGAAGGTGAGCCAGAGCAGGGTGCCGAAGCCGCCGACCATCTCGTACATGTCCCTGAGCTTGCGGGCGACGGTGTCGGGGGAGCCGACTATCCAGAGGTTGTCCACGAGGTATTCGAGCGTGACGTCCTCGTTGGGGATGTCTTCGGAGTGCTTCATGAAGTTGATGAAGGGGTATGCGCCGAAGGAGAAGAGAGGGTGGAGGTAGTCGCGCCATGCCCTGCCGAGCATGCCGTTGAGTGCGCCTTCGCGTGCTTCCTCGTCGGTGTCGGCGACCCAGACGTCGCGGACGATGCGCCACTCGCTGCGGCTTGGCGGAGTCTTGCCTGCTCTTGCCGCGCCCTCTTCGACGGCGTCCCAGTGGCTGGCGACATAGATGGCGTTGAGGCCGAGGCTCATGGGGATGTAGCCGCGCTCGCCGACTATCTTGAGGGTCTCGGAGTTGGGGCTTGCGCCTGCTACGCCGATGGGCGGGTGCGGCTTTTGCAAGGGGCGCAGGAAGGTTCTGAGGCTGGCATACGCGTGATCCTCAGGATTGGGGATGTGGACGTTCCAGAACTTGCCCTCGTAGTCGAAGCTGCCGTCGATGTTGCCCCAGATGCCGAGGATGATTTCGAGTGCCTCGCGGGTGCGGGCGTGGTGCTCGCCTTCCTCGAAGTTGACGTCGAAGAGCTCGTGGTCGGAGAGCAGGCCGCCGGAGCCGATGCCGAACATGTAGCGGCCCTGCGCGAGGTGGTCGAGGTATGCGACGCGGTGTGCGAGCTCGACGGGGTTGTGGAAGGGGAGGAGGTGCGCGCCGGTGCCGAGCTTGATGTTCGTGGTGCGCATGAGCGCCTGTGCGATGAGCAGGTCGGGCGCGGGAACGGGCTCCCAGGGGGCGGTGAAGTGCTCGCCGATCCATGCCTCGCTGAAGCCGAGGTTGTCGGCGAGTTCCAGGCATTCGAGGTCCCACTGATGGGCGTCCCAGGTGGAGCGCTCGGGCGGGTGAGAGGGCATCAGGAACAGACCGGCTTTCATGGGGGATCTCCTATCTGCTTGAGGGCTTTCGCTTCAGGTCTTTTCGGATCTATCTGCTGGTGGCGCGATTATATCGGGTGGGCGGGGGCATGTCCAAGTGCGGCGTGGTTCGGCAGGCTCGCCACGAACGGGGTCTGCGATTTCCGTTGTGCGGATACAGCGCAGGGGCTTACAATTGAGTTTACGTTTTATGATACTTTCCCCGCCTGCTCTCGCCCGCAACATATCCAGAGCCGTCATTATAAGTGGTGGGTGTTCCTTGCGCTCGCCATAGGCACGTTCACATCGGTTGCTGACTTCGGCAGCCTGAATGTGACGATGCCGACCATCGCGGGGCACTTCGGGACGGACCTTCCTACGGCGCAGTGGGTGCTGATAGGGTACGCGCTGGCCATCAGCGCGCTGCTGCTGCCGATGGGCAGGCTTTCCGACATCATCGGGCGCAAGCGAGTCTATGTCACCGGCTTCGTCATCTTCGCCGTGGGCGGGCTGTTCGCCAGCACATCGGACAGCATTCTGACGCTCATCGCGTTCAAGGTATTGCAGGGCGTGGGCGCGAGCATGACGCAGGGCACAGGGATGGCGATGGTGCTGGCGTCGTTTCCGAGAGAGGAGCGCGGCAAGGCGATAGGGTCGTTCATCACGGTGGTGGGATCGGGGAATGTGGCGGGGCCTGCGCTCGGCGGATTCATCGCGGGGACGCTGGGCTGGGAGTGGGTCTTCTACTTCGGGGTGATACTGTCGCTGTTCGCGATTGCGGCGGTATTGGTGGTGCTGGACGGACGGATATACTCGCGGCGTGGGAGCGGCAGCGCGTCGTTCGACTGGCTGGGGCGCTGCGCTGTCAACGGCTTCGCTGGTTACCTTCCTGCTGGTAATGACGAGCGGGCCTCGGCTGGGCTGGCTGTACCCGCCCGTGATTGGCGGGATCTTCGCTCTGGTGGCGTTCGTGGCATCGTTCATCTGGTGGGAGCTGCGCTGCGAGACGCCGATGATAGATGTGCGGCTGTTCAAGTCGCGCATCGTGTCGCTGGGAGTGGCGGCGCAGTTCATATCGTTCATCGGCAACTCGTCGACGCGCTTCCTGCTGCCGTTCTACATGCAGGCGGCACTGGGCTTTTCGCCGCAGCAGATCGGGCTTATCTTCGTGCCAAGCTCGATTGCGATGATAGTGACGGGGCCACTCAGCGGGAGGCTGTCGGACCGCTTCGGCTATCGGTGGTTCACTGTGGGCGGACTGATGCTGTCGGTGTGCGGGCTGCTGCTGCTATCCACGCTGACCACGGAGTCGTCGGTGTGGGTTGTCGCGATTGGGATGCTGCTGCAGACGAGCGGAACGGGGACTTTCTACCCGCCGAACAACTCTTCGATCATGCAGCAGGTGCCTGAGAGCCGGTACGGGGTGATGTCGGGGTTCATCAATCTGGTGCGGAACTCTGCGAACATCACGGGGACGGCGGTGGCGACTGCCATCGTTGCGGCGGTGATGGTGTCGATGGGCTACCTGCCGAACCTGTCGTCGATTGCGGAGACGGGGGATACCGGGCTGCTGACGGCGTTCGTGGCGGGGCTGCGAACTTCGTACATCGTCATCGCGGGGCTGGTGGTCGTGGGAGTGGTATTCTCGTTCATAAGGCCGGCGTCCAGCCAAGTGGAAGCCGAAGACGCGGTGAAGCAGACAGCGGCGCGATAATGGCAGAGGTATAGCGTTCATCCTGTGCTATTATTTATCTGTGCTCAGCCAACAACGGACGCTGGAGGCTCATGATGGCAACGACCAGGGCGACCACCAGGACGATAACCAACGCATGGGTAGATAGAACGCTGCCCGACATCTTCTACGAAGAGCCGGAGCCGCCGGAGGACGCATTGGTACAAGAACGCGCGGTACATAGAATCATCCACCTGCTCTGGGAACTTTACGAAGACCGCGCCGATGTGTTCATCTCAGGGGCGTTTTATGTCGCTTATGACGCTACGGATGGCAACCGCCGCGTGCAGCCCGACTGCTTCATCGCTTTTGATGTTGACGCGGAGACTATTCGACAGAACCTACCGAACTACTGGGTCTGGGAAGTAGGCAAAGCGCCAGACCTCGTAATTGAAGTGGCATCGCCAAGCACGGCGGCGAACGACCTAGGGCACAAACGAGATCTGTATGCTCAGCTCGGTATCCCCGAATACTGGCGATTCGACCCAACAGGCGGTGAGTTGTACGGTCAGCCGCTTGCAGGGGAGCGGCTGGTTGAAGGCGAGTATCAGTCGTTTGATCTTCAGATTGGAGACGACAACTCCGTGAAGGCATACAGCGAGCTGCTGGATGTGGACTTCTATTGGGACGGGCAGGAGTTCGATGTTCTCGACCCTGTGACTGGCAAGACAATTGACAAGCGTGTGGCGGAGCGAGAAGCGCGTCTGGCGGCTGAAGCGCGTGAGCGGGCGCTGCTGGAAGAGATTGAGCGCCTGCGCGCGCAGCAGTCAGGACGGTAGATCATCCTATGCTATTATTTATCTGTGCTCAAGCCGAAGATTAGTACCGGAGGCTGATTATGGTAGTGACCGCGCAGGAAGTGAAACTACTGACTGCTGATGACTTGCTACGGCTGTACAGCAAAGGGGTTCGCGGCGAACTTATCCGAGGGGTGCTTTGCAAGACGATGGCTGTCGGCGGAGAACACGGCGAGACTGTGGTGAATCTGGTCACTGAACTGCGAAACTTCGTAAAGCCGCGACGACTGGGTAGATTGGCGGCTTCGGACTCCGGGGTGTTGCTTGGAGCGGTCGCCCGATACGGTGAGAGAGCCGGACATAGTGTTCTTCTCTTCAGAGAAGATACCGCCCGGTGAGAGAGTCACGGGATATTACGAAGAGAGTTCCGGACCTTGTGGTGGAGGTGGCATCGCCTAGTGACAGCGTGCGAGAAAGTGAACGACAAAGCGCGGATGTGGTTGAGTTACGGCACGCGGTTGGTGTGGGTGCTCCATCCGAACAGGCGCAGCGTGGATGTGCATACGCCGGGAGGCGATGTGACTACGCTGACCAACGAGGACAATTTGAACGGCGGTGATGTGCTGCCGGGCTTTGAGTGCAGTCTATCCGATATATTTGATGCAGGGTAGGCCGGCCCTTACATCCGGCGCATCCTGCCGTAGAAGGCGAAGATGGCGGCTCCGACGAGCGCGAGCGCGATGCCGTTGGCGCTCAATGCTATTCCCACCCCTGCAGCCTTCAAAATTGCACCCACCTGCAAGTTGCCGATCGGCGCGGTGCCGATGCCCACTATCCACGCGCCCATTGCGCGCCCGCGCTGCTCGTTGGGCACGATGTTCTGCATCATGCTTTGCGAGAAGATATCGGACATCGCCATCGCCCCACCTACGATTCCCGTCGCCAGGAGCGCGATCACAAACGCGGGGGACTGTCCGAGAATCAAGCTGGCGGACTCACCTGACGTGCCCCCTCCGGGCAAGAAAGTGGCGACTACGGGAGACTGCCCCAACAGCACAAGCGCCGCGCCAAAGACCAGCAGATTGAGCAGCAGCAGCGCGCCCCTGCGCCCCACTTCGCCGAATAGCGAGAGCAGCAATATCGCCACCACCGCGCCGCCGCTGCGAAAACCGTTCAGCCAGCCAAGACCCTCCGCGCCCACATTCAGGACATCACGAGCGAGGCTCGGTAACGTCGCTCCGCTTGAAAAGCCCAGCGTCTCGGTAGCTGCGACGATAATCACCAGTGTCAGCAGTGGGGTGTTGCGCCGAAGCTCGCCGCCGAACTCCCGCAGGTTCTGCAATATGGGTTGGCGCGAGCGGGCAGCCGCCTGACCCGGGAGAGTGTATGAGACTCAGCAGGAGCGTGGAGACGATGTAGCCGCTGGCGAGCATCCAGTACGCCATGTGCGCGCCGGGGCCGCCTATGAGATAACCTGCCGCAACCGCTCCGACGAGCCCGCCCAGCCGCATACCCAGCCCGACGTAAGCCAGACCGGTTAGAAGATTTTCTCGCCCCACGACGTCGAAGGCAAAGCTCTGGCGCGCCGCCTGGTGTATGGCGCTCAGGCAGCCACCTACAACCGCGAAATGCCAGCAGGTGCCAAACCTGGAGCATCTCAAGGTAAAGGAGCGCGCCGATACCCACCATCAGGAGGCCCATGACTATGTTCAGAGAGCGTATGAGCAGGCGGCGGTCAACCATGTCGGCGATTGTGCCCGCCGGAATGCCGAGGAAGAAGAGCGGCGCCATTCGGAGCGCGAGCGACACGCCGACCATGAAGGGATTGTCGGTGAGGTCAAGAATCAGCCAGCTGAGGGCAACCTGCTCGCCCATGTGTCCGATGGCGTCGAAGAAGGACGCGGACATCAGCACACGCAGGTCGCGGTTGCGCAGGGCGGGCGGGGTACGAAACCTGTTCCTCAGAAATCTCGCGGGGTTGGAGCCAGAATGGGGAAGCCTCGGTGATTGCACAGTGGCGCTATTATGCACTCAAACGGGGTGATGCACAATGCAGGGGTGGTTCGGCGCCAGAATAGTTAGTGGTATGATTTGGCACGAGGAAGTGTTTTGCGGAGCGTAAGTATTCTTGGCAATGAATGAACGAGGCGACCGTAGTGCCGTGCAGGAGGCCGTGGCGCTATTCCCGGAAGGATGGCGGACTGCTTATCTTGTGATTTTGGGGATGCTGCTGGGAGTGGGGCTTGGTATCGCGGCGTTAGAGGAATTCCTGTGGCATGGTAAGATTGAATTTGTAGTGAGGATTCTGGCGGTGGCAGGACATGGCGGCGGGGTTACGCCTGTCTCGGTTCTGCTGGCGGTATTTCTTACGGAGGCTTGGAGAAGTATGGCACTTTTGTCCGAGAAATTAAGGGATAGGATTCGCAACCAAGGGCGGGAAATGGGACGCAAAGAGGGACGTGCGGCGGGACATGCAGAGGCGTCTTCGCACTGGCGAATGTGGTTTGAGCGCTACGAAGAGGCGCGTAAGAAGGGTGAGCCTTTTGACGAGCCGCCGCCCGACAGGGTAAGCGTGACTTCATGGCAGGCGGAGGGATTGCGCCTGTCTCGGTTCTGCTGGCGGTATTTCTTACGGAGGCTTGGAGAAGTATGGCACTTTTGTCCGAGAAATTAAGGGATAGGATTCGCAACCAAGGGCGGGAAATGGGACGCAAAGAGGGGCGTGTTGAAGGACGTGCGGCAGGACATGCAGAGGCGTCTTCCCATTGGCGAATGTGGTTTGAGCGCTATGAAGAGGCGCGCAGAAGGGTGAGCCTTTCAATGAGCCGCCGCCGACGGTGCGATAAGCAGGGCTTCAGGATTGCCGACGATCTCACCAAGAGGCTTTTCGAGCCGAACGGATTGGGAGCTAGTCTATCTTCTCCAACGGCGCCATCCCCAGCAGAGCGCTTGACGCCGGCGCCGTCTTTGAATGCCACGGTAACCTCGAAGTCGTTGCCGGTGGGCTTGCTCTCCGTGACGATGCCTTCTCCGAAGACCTTGTGCATTACTTTGTCTCCGGTTGCCAGATGCGGGGAGGCTGCCATCTGACCACTCCCGCCTGCGGATGCCGCTCCTTCACGCACGGGGCGCTGGCCGGGGACATTCTGGGGGCGCGGCCGCTTCTACGCGTTGGGATTCCGCCGGGTGAACGCAGCCTGAAGCAGAAGGCGTTACGGACTGGGTGCGACCTGCGCGATCGCTGCGCCGGATGTCTGGCGCTGGGGGCGTATCTGCACTTGACCGCCGCGCCTGATTGCCGAACGCTGACTGCTTGGGCTTGGGCGCTTGGGCTGCGCGGGCGCGGTGAGTAGTTCCTGCGGGATGTCGAGGAGGAAACGCGATGGTGTGCCCGGCTCGGAGCCGCCACGGAAGCCACGCCTGAACGCGCGCAGCAGGTACAGACGCTCTTTGGCGCGGGTAACGCCGACATAGCAGAGGCGGCGCTCTTCCTCCAATTGCGTGGGGTCGTCCACCGAGCGCGAGTGCGGGAGCAGTCCTTCTTCCATGCCGACCATGAAGACGACGGGGAACTCCAAGCCCTTCGCCTGATGCAGCGTGATGAGCGTATGGCGTCTGCCCTGTCCTCCATGCTGTCCACATCGGCGACGAGGCTGACGCTCTCAAGGAACGCGGTGAGCGCCTCGGCTCTGCCGAAGTGCAGGTAGTCGCGGGCGGACGCACGGAACTCCTGAATATTCTCAAGCCGTTCCTCGCTGCGTTCGGGCTGATCCGATAGCCAGCGCTGGTAGCCGCTGCGTTCAAGGACGGCGTCGATGATGTCGAGCAGGTCAAGTTCGTCGCGCTCGTCCGCGATGCCCTTGATGAGATTGCCGAAGCCTATGAGCGAAGTACGCGCTCGCGCCGTGAACGGGCTGACGACAGTGCCCTGTGCCGCTATCCGACTCGCTCGCCCGACAGCGCCTGAATGGCGGCGAACTGCGATGTGCCGGCGTCTCTTGCGGTTCGGGCGAGATGGTCGAGGGTGCGCTGGCCGATGCCTCGCGTGGGCAGGTTGATGACGCGGTTCAGGCTAACATCGTCGTCAGGGTTGGCGATGAGGCGCAGGTAGGCGATGATGTCCTTCACCTCCTGACGCTGGTAGAACTTCATGCCGCCCACGACCTGATACGGCACGCCGTAGCGGAGGCAAGCCTCTTCCAGCGCGCGCGACTGCGCGTTCACGCGGTACATCACCGCGATGTCGCCCAGCGTGGTGCCTGATTTCTTGCGGCCTACGACCGCCTCCTGATTGCGCGTGAGGCTTTGTATCTCTCTGACGACGAACTGTGCCTCCTCCTCCTCGTTGTATCCCTCTGCGATGACGATGGGGACGCCGGAGCCGTTGCGCGTCCAGAGGTCCTTCTCAACGCGCTGCGTGTTGGATGCGATGAGGCTGCGTGCGGCGTCGAGGATCGTCTGTGTGGAGCGGTAGTTTTCTTCAAGGGCGATGAGTTTCGCCTTCGGGTAGTCGTCCTGGAAGCTGAGGATGTTGCGGATGTCGGCGTTGCGCCAGGTGTAGATGGACTGATCGGGGTCGCCCACGACGCAGATGTTCAGGTGGTGGCGCGCCATCTGCCTGGAGATGGCGTACTGCGCCACATTCGTGTCCTGGAACTCGTCAACCATGAAGTGGACATAGCGTTCCTGATACTTCTGCGCCACGTCGGGCACGCGGTCGAAGAGCTGGTAGGTCTTGAGGAGCAGGTCGTCGAAGTCCACGGCGGAGCACTGGCGCAGCAGGTCTTCGTAGCGTTCGTAGGCGCGGACTACAATCTCATCCCAGTAGCTGGCGGAGCGGTGCGCCAAGCCTTCAACGCCCAGAAGCTCGCTCTTCGCGCTTGATATGCCGGAGAGGATGGAGCGCGGAGGGAAGCGCTTGGGGTCAAGCTCAAGCTCGATGAGGGCGCGCTTGACCAGTGCCATCTGATCGGCGTCGTCATAGATGACGAAGTCGCGGTCGAGGCCGATGTGCTCACCCTCTCGCCGCAGCACATTGGCGCAGAAGGCGTGGAAGGTAGTAGTAGTGAGCTGCTCCGCCGCCTGCCCGAGCAATGGGACGAGGCGCTGACGCATCTCGCGGGCTGCCTTGTTCGTGAATGTTACGGCGGCGATGCGATATGGCGAGATGCCGACGACGCGCACGAGATATGCGATGCGGTGCGTTATGACGCGGGTCTTGCCGCTGCCGGGGCCTGCGATGATGAGCAGCGGGCCGTCATCGCGGTGACGGCGTCGCGCTGGTTGTCGTTCAGCCTTCAAGTATCTGGTCTGCGGGGCTTCTGGGGCGTCCGCTTTGTCTGCGTGAAACCATAGTCTTCAGTCACACTCCCGTCCTGATTATAGCATCGGGACGCATATAAGAGAGCGCGAGCGGATAGTGGGAGTCGCGGCTGGATTCCAGATTTCGCATAAGTTGCTCTGCGCTCGGCCGCGCCACAGATAGATGGTGTGGCAGTATGTTCGCTATACTATCGGAGACGCGGGCCACGAGAGGCGGTGCATCTAAAGATGGGGCAAGGACTGGGGCTAAGACGAGGAGGTTTGCTATGATTTTTGCGTGTGGTCGGCGCTTTTCTGGTGATAAATGCGATAGCCTATGCGGTCCAGTTCGTGTTCAACGACCTGTATCAGGACGGACAGGGACTTGAGCCTAAGCACATCTGGCAAGTCATAGACTACGTGGCGGTGGTAGTAATCCTTGCGGCGCTGGCCGTGAACTTCATGAGGCTTCGCTCGCTGCTACCCAGCGGCGGCGAGGCAATCAGCGGCGAACGTCTGGGCGCGTACATATTGTTCTATGCGACGGCGGCGCTGACATTGTGGTTTTTCCACAACTGGATAGACCTGCTGACACTGACTGAAGGCAAGTCCGTCAGCGTGTACAACAATGTCATCTGGAAGTTCATCGGCGTAGTGTTTCCGCTGACCATCGGAACTACAGGCTGCATATTATGGCGGAAAGCATCGGATGGGTAGATGCACGATAAGGCTGCGCCGATATGTGTGCAAACGTGGTCAGGCGGCGACGGTCTCGAACATTGTCAACAAAACTTTGGCTTACCCAATATCGAGCTTACAGAACCTCGGCTTCGCGTTCAAGCACGTCCTTAATCCAATCGTCGATGCTCTTGCGATTACGAGCGGCAGAAATTGCGACACGGCGGTGAAGCTCTGCGTCCAATTGCAGGTTTAAGCTTCCAGCGAACGGGCGTTGCGGCTCAACTCCATCCTCCTTACACCAAGCAAGATAGTCGTCAACAGATATTTGAAACTCGCGTTTGAGACCCTCTACATCAGCAGCCTCAAAAGTCACGACAGGGTATGAGCCAGTATTGATGACTTCCCCATGAAGCAGATCCACAGAATCATCATATTCGACTGTAGCAATATATCCCTTATACTCAATCATGACGTGACTCCAATTTCTTTAAGGAATTTTGCGATTGCTCTTACGGTAGCCTTACCCATCTCCGGACTTGGGTGAGGTCTATGAACAGTCATTCGCGCACCCTCTTTCCTCAAACCCACCCTAGAACCTGCTCTCTCTGAGACTTCTACGCCTACGGCCAGCAGCAGGGACTCTATCTCAGCCCATCTAATATCAGAAGGTGTAGGACTAGCGAAGATACGTCGTAGCGTCTGTCGGTGTCTAGTTCTCAGAGGCAATAGTTTCCCCTAATGATACCATCGGCAAGGCAATGTTCGTAGTTGCTCTGTGCTGTGAGAATAGATGGACAGTTTCCCAGATGGCATTCATTCCGCTCGTCCCCTTCACTCATGTTAGACTAACACCATGAATCAGACAGAACAACGAGCGCTCGACATACTTGCGGGACTGGCGAGGAATCCTGCCGTGCCGTTCCATGAATGGGGGGTTGCAGAACACATCCTTGGCGTGCTTGTGACTCTGGACGGCGTGGAGTACGGGCGGGATGACTTCGGCAACATCATAGCGCACTACATCGCGCCTTCTATCGCCGCGCTTCCCGAATCGGAGCGAGAGCCGCCCATCGCGTTCGTGGCGCATATGGACCATCCGGGCTACGAGATTTTTTCGTCCGACACAGCGTCTGACAGTAGCCGGAACTACATCGCAAGGGCGCTGGGTGGCGTGCCTGCGGCGTCGAAGACGAAGCGGACGCCTGCGTTCGTGCTGATGCCGGACGGGGAGCGCATAGCTGCCGAGATACTGCCCTTGGATGCCCAATCGTCCGGCGGCGAGGACAGACTTGTAGGCGTGAGCGTGAAATCGGACGCGGAGTTCGCGATGCCCGCTGCGGTGGTGTTCGACCTGCCTGATTTTGCCATAGAGGGCGGCATCGAGGGCGAGACGATTCGCATGCGCGCGGCTGACGACCTGGCGGGATGTGGCGCAATACTTTCGGCGCTGGAGCGGCTGGTGACGAGCGATGCTGAGGCGGACTTCTACGCGGTGTTCACGCGCGCGGAGGAGGGCGGGCTGTTCGGTGCGCGGCTGATGGCGGAGGCGGGGACGCTGCCGAAGAACACGCTGGTCGTGTCGGTGGAGTCTAGCCCGCTCATACCGGGCGTGGCGCAGGGCGAGGGGCCGGTAATCCGCACGGGCGACCGAGTCTATACTTTCGACGCAGACGCGGAGCAGGTGTTCATCGCGGCGCAGCAGAGCATTCGGGAGAGGGATAAAGACTTCAAGACACAGCGGCAGCTTATGAGCGGCGGTGGGTGCGAGGCTACGGCGTTCGCGGTGTTCGGCTACAAGGTGACGGGGCTGGCGTTTCCGCTGGGCAACTGGCACAACGCCACGACGACGATACCGGACCCGGATGGCGGCGTGGACTCGGAGTACATCAGCGTTTCCGACTACCTCGGCGGCGTGGCGCTGATGGCGGAGGCCGGTGTCAGCGTCGGCAAGCGGCATGACTCGCCCACGCGACAGTATATCCGCGAGATTCCGGATGATGTGCGGGAGCGGATGCGGGAGACGGCGGGGGATTAGCGCGCGATGTCGCGTGCTAAAATGGAGGTGAGTCCGTGCGATTGCTACTCAGATACGGAGTGAGCCATGCGAATCAACGAAGAGGGGCAAATCAGGATCCCAGTGCGCTAAGAAATCACTTCGGCATCGACGAGAATGCCGAAGTTGACATCATCCCGACTGATGAAGGGATTCTCATCAAGAAGCGGGAGCAAGAGTACGACGAGACAAGCGATTCGTCGTGCCCAAGGCGCTGCGCGATCACTTCG